TCTCTCTCCTCCTCTCCCTCTCTCTCTCTCTCTCCCTCTCTCTTGCCGGAGGGTGAGATTAGCAATTGTTTGCACTAGCTCGCGTATACTTTACAGAATGGTGTCGGAGCGATTAGGCGCTTCGTGTAGTAGCTCTCCCATCCTGATGACAAATACCCATCCACGAGCGCCGCAACAACGATCGCAACGGATAATACCGCTAAGTGTGGGAGGCACCAATTGTGTGCCTGTGAGGCTTTCGCCGCGCACAGTACTCGGCTAATTGCTTCAAGACATTTTTTATAGACACGATAAGTCCACGTAAATGGGACAACAAATTATTCTTTCCCTCCGTAGAAAAAATTTAAATCCAATAACCCGAGCGAGTTTATGAAATTGTCAATTACACTCGTATGCGCATTTCAACTTCATCTAGAGGAAAAAAAAAAGATCATTATCCTTAATAAAAGTAGTAGAACTTTATGAACTCGGCGAGTAAATGTCTTCGCTTGCATGTCAATTATATTACTTGTACAGCGACGGTTTATTATGGTCTACCCATTAGCGAAAAATTAATGGAGTAAAGTTAAAACGCGATGTCTTATAGCAACATGATGAAAGTGTTCGCCAGATGTTTATTTATTGCTTTTTTGAAAAAAAGATCTTTTCATAAAAATTAATTGCCTGTTTACAAAAATCTCTTTTATCTTTATTAAAAATTTATTAATGAGATCCGATTCTTTGATCTATTTTTATATAAATAATATTCAAAAATGAATATATGTTTTTCTACCTTATAACAATATATGTAACTTTTAATAATTTCCCATATAAATAGATATCGGATATATTCAATATTTAATATATCTTAATGAATCATAATTATGTGTATTAAATAATTGATGTATTAAATGTAATAATAAATATAACGTGTCACAAGAGGATAGGCTATAAAGATTTAATTGAGGAAAACTTCAAGATCCATAGACGATACTCATACTACGACAAGCTGCAACTTTAACGAAGAAGTTTATATCCTTCGTAATATTTTCATACGATAAATATCGCCGCGCGACTCACGTTACGCGATACTTCAACGCTGACATTTATTTACAGGATTGCCTGTCGCGTTCGCGCGCGCGCGCTGACAAATGCTGCACGATGTTAGTAGATGGAAACTTTATTTAAACAGGATTATACAACGTTAATACTAATTATTATTACGGAACGTTAAGCTTATGACTGGACGAAGCGGTGAGTAGTAGATCGAAGTTACTTTCTTTACTATACATCTTAATTAATGAAGCTATTTTCCTTGCTATGTACTTTAATTATCTTTTAGCATTTCTCATTTCGAAAATTAAAAATATTTTAGTAAGATCCACCATTCGGATTCTTTCTAGAAGAAATAATTATTATTTTTAAAGTTGGAATGTAAAAATTAGAGATCGAAAGATGCGAAATTCAATAAAAAAATTCAGCTGCTAATCTCATTCCTCCGCAATTAGTAGAGTAAAAAATGTAATACGTCGGAATTTAGCTGGTTTAGGTATGCGACTTCTACGTGCTAGAAGTAACTTTAGCGCAAGGGAGGACAGAGGAGGGTGGCCTGAAAGCAGAGGCGGTTATGGGGCCTGAAAGTTGCAAGAGAGCGACGGTAGGCAGTGATCGAGCGGTCGCGACTTAATGAAACTCTTAAGTGCCGACTATTAATATGGCTTGCAAGTTACCAGGAAGCCCGCTTACACGTTCATCCGCCACACTCCCTTCCTCTCGTTCACTCTCCACTTACAAGTTCCCCCGAATGCAAGAAAATGGTCGCATCGCGCAATTTTATTCAGAAAAGTGAGAAATGAACTTCATCTATTCTCGTACGTTTTGTTGGTATAAAGACGAAGACAAACAATAAAATTTGTTTCAATTAAAATGGTCTTGTTCTATTTTAAAATAATCAGATTATGGAATATTAGATATGCGTCACATTATATTTTAATAACAACACTAAATTATTTCGTGAGGCTTCTACAAATAAGTGTAAGAACTTTGTTAGAGAACAAACCGAGCCACACTCATCAAACAAAAATGTTATCAAATAAATGAACCACAAACTAATGAGATATTCTCTAATTTCAACATCAATAGTTATCACAAAGTCAGAAAAAGTCAATTTAAATATTAACATACATACATACTTTACGCTTTTAGAATGTATTTAGAAAGTATATAAAACGAGTATAACTTCACGATTTTATTATCGGAAAGATATTAAAAAATTATTGCAAAATCCGAAGAATCATAATTAATCCAATGTGTTATACATTTAACACAAGACGGATTTTAAAAATACTTTACTAATCTCCGTTTAATTCGACATGATAATGACCTATACATGAAACGAAGATAGAAACAAGTAAATGCCATTATCTTAATTAGTTACTTTCAGTTCGAAATTTAACAATTTACGCACATATCCGCTAAGCGCGTCCACAGTACGTACGCTAAACCGAGTTCACGCCTTGTCACGCTTTTCGAACCGCTGTCACGCAAGGCGGTCGACTAACCGGGCTTCGCGTCCCTGTCCCCAATTTGTCTTTGAATGAAAAATTGATCCGGTTAGCGACTGTTGTAGCTTGTCGGAAATTGCGAGCGTAGGAAACCAACGATCGACGAAAGATCGATGATATACCGATATTTTAACCGTCGCGATACTTGTCGTCGCCGTCGTCGGCATGACTCGACGAGTAAACCGAATCGCGCTCCTTCGCGTATTCGAATAATTATTTCCAATTTCAAGATTCAATCATCCGGGATAAATTAAAATCTAACAGAAGTTCGTAAATCGTCGTCCAAAGTGATCAGTGCCAGATTATAAAGTATCGCGAATCGCAAGAAGGTAACGGAGTAATCTCTCTTTTTTGTAACGAGATATTATCCGAATTTAATTAAACATCGACTCCAAAGAAGCTCCGATACGGTTACCACGCTTGAGTAAATGCGCCAAGCAAAATTAATTTCGGCAACAATTTTAAACAAATTCTTTAATTCCTCGATTTCTTTCTGACTTTCCAATTTATTTACAGAATCACGTTCAGGACTTTTTTTTATAACAAATGCTCAAACAACAAATAATGTTATGATTCGAACGTGCCGTTTATCTGAGACTGATGGTATGCTTTTCATTCACTTCGCGGATTGTGCATTTTTCGCATTCGCACGCATGCAGACGCGCCAAAAAATTCACATTCGCCGCGCATCCCCGTTGGGCGTTGGTCGCTTTGTCACCACCCCGCTTCGGTTTTTTTTCCCTTGCTTTATTTTTTTTTCCCTTTCCCGATCTCGTTGGCGTGCGCGTTCGCCCGTTTTTCGATTCGACGGCGAGACAATGAAGTCCTTATCATCAATGGCTATCGCCACGAATGCCGGCCAAATCGGCCGCAACCAGTACGCGGCTGTTCCTTTTTCCGCTTTTATTTCCCGATCTATATAAATATATATATTTTTTGTTTTGTCTTCCTCCGGTTTACACCGGAGCTTTCGCGGCTTTTACCGCGAACGTGACACCTCTGACCGCGACGTGCTGACAACAACATGCACAGACTCGACAAAATTTTCCCGGTGCCATTACGAATGCTGTTAATGACTATCCGGTTTCTCTTCAAAATTATTAACTTAAATCCATAAAAAAATCACCGTCCGATGAAACAACGTAAACTGTACTACATTATCTTAATTACGTAGTAATTTTTTTTTTCAATCGATACAATATCTTGTCGCGGAATTTAAATTACATTTAAATAAGTCAGTCCTTTCAGTCGTGATTAAAAGCTAAAATCCCTTGGTTAGCATCAGAAACTTCATAATTCAATTACTTAGAGATTATAAGTTAGCCTACAAAGTAAGGGCTTGTATTTTATAAATGATTAATTTCGTATATGAAAGTACAAAATCACTTCATACTTCTTTGATAAGAGATGTTCTTCAATTTTTCATTCATTAACCACCAAAACAGAAAATTTTTATAATTTTTATAATTAAACTAATAATTTTTATTTTTTATAATTAAACTAATAATTTTCCAAAAAATTAGAGATTAGTATGATGTTATACATATATCCAGAGCATTACAGAAAATATGTGATGAAAATAATAATTATGTACGTTTGCTTTCAGAAAATAATTTTTAAATGGAAAGTCAAAAGAGAGCAAGCTTCTTCGGATTTTGGTAAGTTTATATATAAAAGAAATTTAATTTATTTTAACAATTATTTTCTTTTCTCGGCGACGCTAATCATCTTTTAGCAAGTACGTGTAAGTTGAGCGTATGATTACTTCGTCCGCTCGACGAAACACGTGTCACGATCGATGTTAGTACACGCCTCTTAGTTCCAGAAATAGTCGCGCCGCGTGTTTAACAAGCCCGTTTAACTTTTAATAGGCTCGATGGCCTAATTATGAGCCACCGCAAAGTAATAAAGTCTGTCACGTTTTATAACTCGATATACCGTACAACAACATATCCTCAGCATACACATATATACGAAAATGAAAAAAGTAGAGTTCTTCGCGCAGACTGTCAATTTTTAGCATTTTTCTTCTTTAATACACAGAAATTAGAAATTAAAGTGACGCGGTGCTTATCACCGTGCCATCGCCAAAGTATTAACAATATATATATATATATATATTACACGAAAAAATAATTTTAATAAATGAATTCACTCACCACTGCTGCGCCGTAGGCACCACCCGATCTCGACGGCCGCGTTCACAAAAGTAAACTGATAATCTGAAAATATACATGAATCAAATTCGCTATTTTCAATTTTAGAATATCGTATCAAAGGTAGATATATATAGATGTGCGCTGCTGTCAAATAAAGATATAGCTAGATAGATCGGGAGTGCAAACACGAGTAGCTTTGATGAAAATACGTCCACCATTTTCGCAGACTGATCGAATGAGTCGATCGTATCGTGATCGGCGGATGCGCGGTTCTCGAAACGTGGAATTCGCCGTTCAGTCGGTCGATCGGTACAAAAGTGGCGCGCGGGGCCATATCGAAACTGTATCAGCCTTGAATAGCGGTTAAAGCATCGCCCGCAATCGAACGCACGCTGTGTACTTGATCGCTCACGGCGTGGGAGCGGCAGTGCGATACGGAAGAGATGAATACAGCGAAACATCCATTAATTAATTAGTCTCTAAATGAACCAATCACCGATCTCGCGAACGATCAATGAAGCGAATCGACCTATCATTGATAGCAGAGAACGTATCTTGCATGGCGGATCATCCGATAGAATGCGAGAATTCAATGCGATCTATTGGGATCTAAGAGTAAACCACTAATCAAATAAATATTTACTGCTGTCTATTAATATATTGGTCAATTTGTGAACACTATTGCAAAATTTTTTAAACAACTAATGCTCTAACAATACTCAAGCAATGCAAGCTTATCTATTATATATAAGACATAAATACATTTAAGCTGCAACAACGTCAAAAATCAAGCTAGCTAGTGTAGCTTAATAATAATAACAAAAAATTGAGTATCTTGCTTGATCGAAATTCTCAATCACTCAAACGCTCGAAATGCTAGTTATCTTAATTAATTAACAAATCATATTCCTTAAATTATTTATAATTTATATACATCGCAATGAATCACAGTCCCAAAATGTGCATGAATGAATAATACAAAGTTAGCGGCTATTAACATCCGGAATTAAGTGACGCATAACTTGTTACTAAATCCGAAACTAACCCGCTTCCACTGTGTAACACAGTGTAACCGATGCCAGTTAAACTCATCGTAGACCTAACTTGAAGTTAACCAATCCCAAGCCAACCGCTGCACAGCGGTCTGGCCATCCGCAAAATTGTTATTCAAAGATAATTTTGGAGTAAGGAAATTTCCACGGCCAGTTATTTCAGTGTAGTCATTTTAGCGGCAGTCACATATAGTCACTGCGACAAAAGAGTAACGTACGTAAACGTTAGTACAGAAAGCATTTACAAGGTAAACTCTCCTAAAATAACACAAACGATACTCAAACGTGCAAAATTTCAAGCTTGAAAGATCGCATTCGTAGTATTTTACCAAAAAATTTTACTAATTATATTCAATAACAAATTATTTAATTCAAACGATGAGTTTGAAAAAGTCTAACAATTTATCTTAATTACCGCTTTCGAAGATCACAAAAAGATCTCTTTTGCCATTATAATAAAATTTCTAGAAACACAAAGAATTGTTATTAGTTTCTTTATCTTTTTTCATTTTGTTAACTTCAATCGTATATTTGTGTAACTTTCAGGAAGAAATAGAACATCACGTGTGAGTTTAAGACGATCGTGCATTCACCTTCCGACGGCAATTATGAGCTAATCATTCCCACGATCGACGGAGAAATTTCCACGACCTCAAGAGTTGAGATTACGCACGGATACGCAACGTCTCCTGCATATATAATTAAAGCAATACTTATTAGAGACGCAATTACCAACGAGACTGTGATGAGATCGACGTGTTTGTGGAAACTTCTATTCGTTGATCTTTAATTACTCGATTCTCGCGCGTGAATCTAATTTAAATTTGTTTTCGATATAATAATACTACAATCTAACAGCTTGTTATCGAACATGCGATTTCATTAATTTCCTTTTGATAACCCGACTAGTCCGGCCACTTGGCGCCTTTCCAAAAACATCATGCAAATAAGCTATTATATTAACAAAGTCTGGCGATGAATTATCTTCGCAGTAAATAATACTGAAGGACGGACATTTCGCGAGCAGGCGGCCGGTTGAATGCGCATTAGGTCGTATCTCGAGCTTTCTATTCCCGTAGAGATTTATTATTTCGACTTCTAAAGAGATACGTTATCTCTCACGAAGCATGGTTATCTTTTTTTCCGTTATTAAATGGCAATAAACTTTATAAAATATATATATATATATATCTTTGCATGTTACAAAATAAATTAAATGCCGTATAAATGACAGTATGACGTACGAAAAAAAACATAATAGTAGAAAAAAATATCTAGCACACGAAGTATCGGATAAAATGTATTTTCCACTCGAATTCTTCATTCTGTTGTACATGAAAGGAAGATTCCAGAAATCGATTGGTAGAAACCTTCCGCGATGCGGGAATGCCACCGTCGCCGCCAACACCGTTGACGACACGACGACGACGACGACGACGACACGGCGATGGGAAGGTAATAAGGTGGCCGTTTGTCGCTCGAAGTGTCAAATAAGCGCATCGAGGCACCCGTTAGCGCGCGACCCGATCTTTTTCTCAACGTGCCACGCCACATTGGCTGCTGACACATTCCACCGACCTGTCTTCGTACTTTCGCGACCCTTTCTCGCCCGCAGCACCGCATATAGAATAATAAGATCGGGCAGTTTCGACGTATGTTAAACGGAAACAGGGAAGCAAACGTATTCACCAGCAATTCGAGCGAACGGCACGATGCACCCCCTGAGCCGAGAGAACGCGCGTTACATTCACCATATATTGTAGTCGCGAATATTCGCTTGATATCTTTTTTGCAAAACTATCGATTCGAACAACAGGAAAAATTGCGAACGGTTGTGAAAACCGAAGCAGAAATGTTTGATCGCACACGATTACTTTCAATTCCTGAAACAAACTGTTATGTACATATATTGTGCAAAAGTGGATCACAGAATTGTACCCTATAATTATTGCAATTTTATACTGATTTTTTTATAGTGTAACAGATGCAATATGCAATATATTATCGAAATGTATCCGCGTCACTGCACATTCGTGATTAAAATAAAAAATATCGAGTCTCACTCCAGATACACTTGAATTGAGTTAAAAAATGAAAGCATTGTTTCATATTTAAAGTTGTTTGATGTTAAAAAAATATTTTGCAGAAGTTGAAATCAATTTTGATTATATTCGTCGGAATCCGGACGATGTACAAGACGACGTACAAGATGGCTGAATAAATAAATAAATGATCTCGAGATCGAAAGATTAATTTCTTATCACTGCTGCCCACCAAGCAAATTAGTTAATGGATAAAGTTCCTCCTATCAGTATGACTCTCGTTCCTTACCGATCTACTTTTTAATGTTTATTAACGATAAGCCACACTTTCCAGCTCACTGCTTCTGAAGTAAAAACAAATTTAATATTGCCTAAAATATAGAAAAAAATATTTAGAGCGCTAATAATTAATTTTCCCCCGATACCACGAATGTGTTTTTGCACGTGCTGCACGTCGGTCGTTATAGAAACAGCCGCGTATATTCGACGACGTGGTCCTCCCGCGGGACGGACATTATTACCAGGAGTCGCGGCATCTTCGCCGTTACCAACCTAGTTGCATATGTACCGAGTGGGTGCATTAAATGGTCGAAGTTCGCGCGTTGAGTTCCCGAGAGTTCTTCTATCTTCTCAGCTAAGTTCACCGAGTGTCGACGCTCGATAAAAGTGTTTCTCTTTCCCCCCTTCCCTCCTCCCGCTGGAGTTTATACCGCCGCCGAAGCCACGCCCGACGAACTTTCGGCTCCTTGACCAGGCGGTTACGCTTCTTCTTCTTCTTCTTCTTCGCCCTCGTTTTTGAGACGCTCTCGGCACTCGCAGGTCTCGCGATAACGGAGAAATCGCGCGCGCGCGCGCTGCCGTCTTATATCCTCCTCAAGGGAGGGACATTAATAACCCAACTATGGCAACTTACTTTCGCCCAGCATATCATAGTTACCTCTGCGCAAATTATTATCCACGCATGAGTTATCTGTTATAATAATTAGGTTACAATTTGTAAATGTATTGTAATTACAAAGTCACACAAATTTCTTGCCATTTAAAAAAAATATAAGTTTAATCTTCAATTCTACCTCGACAGGATATTAATCTGAGATTTAGTTATAAAAATGTTTAAAATCCATTGTTAAAAGAGCGTGAAACAAGACGGTGTCCAATCGGATTTTCGCACCAAGTAGACACCAAGAAAGTAGATTTCAAGTTGATCAAAGAATCCGTAGATGAAAAGAAGTACGAAGGATACCCCCTGTATACCCATGATACCCTATATATGTTATTCATTTTGCAACATAAGTTTCTCGTGTTACAGAATATTTCATAAACTTGTATTAAACCCGGGCGGCATGTTCTCTAATGAATTTGTAGACGAACCTTTTCTCGGTGAAAATTTCATTGAGCGCCGTTTCTGTCCTTCGCAACTTTTAAATTTTCAACTTTGAATATCTTGGTAATTGAAGCTCGAATTAAAATTTTAAAGTATTTTACGCCCATTTAAAAGAAAGTGGCGCACGTACAACGCGTACGCGCCTACATAATAATAAGAATGTATTTTAAAAAAATTATAAAACTGAATAGATACGACAAAGGACGGCCTCAAAAACCGTGTAAATCCCACTCTCCCTCGCTATTTACAGCATTCGACGGTAATATCTGCGTGTTTGCACTGGCACGCGCGCATACGTACATTGTGTACGTGCATACACCCATAGAATTGCGCCCGAGAACGGTAAATTAACCGCGACGCGTCGAGCGGGACTTTATAATCCGGAAATTAAAGGTGTATTATATCCGGAGAACAGGCGGAAGGGAAAGGGGAAGAGAAACGGAGGGGAGGGCTCGGAACGTGAGCCACTAGCCAGTCTCGTGGCTCTCGAGAGAGGCTTCGGCGAAGGTGCTACCAGCGCCCGCAATGATGCCGCTGGGTTAAAAAAGAAAGGCAAAAGAGAAAGAGGCCGCGAAAGAGGGAGGC